ACTGGCTAAATTTGCTCAAAGAAATTTATGCCATCTGTGTTATATGTAAACATGGCTACAGCTAGTATAAAATTTTCTGAGATGAAATTTAAAATAATTAGAGATCAGAAAAAGAGAAAATAATATACTATGCAAACATTGCATTTCATCTGCTTTGATGTTTTGGATTTATAAATTTTTGGCAAGCTTTCAAAACACTTAAAATATAAACATTTTAACATGCATATATCTTTTTGTAAGACATTTTATATCTTCAGTTTGCAGTTTTTATGACTAACAGGTCACATTTTGTATTGTTAGCAGTGCTAAGAATTGCCTGATCATCTCAAAAGCTAGATACCAGAATTAATTTAGTTGTGCAAACAAAATGGAGCTATGTACTAATTTGAGCAGGCAACCAGACAAACAAATAGGCAACACGCGAGCTGCAAATCATTCTATATTAAATTTAAATGTAGGCTATTGTTATGTGAAGGAAAATCATAGTATGAAATGAATTACTACTTTCTAACAGTCTAAATCCCAAACCATTGCCCTGTTGATCATAACAATTATCTTTGAGCATTTGTGCTTAGATTTGTGGCCTAAACATTTTCAGAAGGCTCATGTGAATTAAGAGTAGGAAATCTGTTGTTTCACCCGGGTGAAGCTGAGCTACTATGCATTAAGAAACAAAAAGAAGCTTCAGAAATATTGTTCCTTATGAAGTAAAATGGCAAGGGAACTGTGGGTGAATATGAATACTAGAAGATTGCTTTATAGTTCACAAGGAGAAGCTTAATGATGACATTAAGAAATAAATGGCTTTCAAAAATTTGGGTCCTGCAGTTGATGTGGAAATTACATTATGTATTATGGATGTGATGAGTACTGAAACAAATTCTTGTTCAAAATAATTTTCAAAGTCTTACTGAGATTCCCTGCTGAATCTTCCCTGTGGCCAGCAAGATTTCCCTGATTCCGGTAAAACAAGTTCCTGGTCTCACTCCTTCAATTAATCATTCATTAATTTATTTTTTGCCTTTTGTTCTGTGCAAGAAACTGCAAAATCCCCCGTGCGGCCCAAAGTATCTTGTGCAGGAAAGGTGCAATTCTATGCATTTCCCCCCCTGCCTTTTCTGGGTGAATCCTTTGCCATTAAGATGCATTCTGTGCATGAATTGTAATAATCCTGAACAGCCTGAAAGTGCTTCCAGAAAAAAAAAAATCATAAAACATTTGAGAAATCCTCTGAATTTCCTGCATGTTCTCTGGGGGTTGGGAATCATGTGTGGAATAATTTTTCTACAAGAAGAAAAATATTCTCCATTTATCTTTGTGAAGGAGAGACTGCACAGTTCACATTCCTCTGTCTTTAACCTAGTAAAAGATTTCAAGTAATAGAGTCAAACTCTGCAGTACATGTTCCAGAATAAAAGTAAGCATTATGTGGAAGTGGAGTCATGGCAACTGGACTTCTTTTTATTGGGCTGAAACATTTAGTTACTCATCCAAGTAGCTTCTTCAGTCTGAGGAGAATTGGTAGAAGATCCCTGATAGATCATCCACATTGGTTTCACTTCCACCTGGTCTGAATAGGCTTATTAGAAAGCCAAAGGACTTGGGGGGGTGATGAGTGAAAATCCCACTTCTGGGGTCCTTCTTCACCCATTGTCAATCTACCAGTGGCACAAACTGAACAACTCCAGATTAAAGTTCCTGCATCACTTTCCACCGCTCAGCCACTACCATCCAACTTCATCAGACAGGAAAGAAGTGCGCTGACATCTCTCAGCAGGGATGAGACCATCACCATGCTGCCTGCGGACAAAGGAAGATGCACTGTAGTCCTCAACACTACGGATTACCATAGAAAAGTAAGCTCAATTTTGGAAGACCAACACACATACAAAAAACTGAAGAGGGAACCTCACCAACCTTTACAAGAAAAAAGTGATAGAGTGCTTGAAACACTTGGAAAAGGACCATGCCATTGACACAGCGACCTACAAGCGATTGTACCCTGGAGAGTCCCCCCCATGGACTTCCCAAGATACACAAGGAAGGAACCCCCCCTCAGACTTATCATCCAAAGCATAAACTTGGTAACATACAGCATTGCCAAATGCTTGACCACCATCTTAGCACCATTGGTTGGACATTTGGACCACTGCATTCACAACTCAGAGGAGTTTGTGTCCAAAGTCAGGGAACTGAAACTAAATACTGTTGAAACCATGGTATCATTTGATGTCACATCCCTTTTCACCAGCATTCCCACCCCCAGTGCCCTTATAATTGTAAAAAAAGGAGACTGGAAGAAGACAACACTCTCTCCACCAGAAGCAGCCTCAACCCAGACCAGATGTGCCTCCTCCTGGACCTCAGTCTGAACATCTCTTACTTCACCTACAGAGGTGACTTTTACAGACGGAAACATGGCCATGCGATGGGTTCCCCGGTGTTGCCCATTGTTGCCAACCTGTACATGTAAGAATTGGAAACAAACACCTTCCAGGGGATGACTCTGACCCATTGGTTCAGGTATGTGGATGATGCCTGGGTGAAATCAAGATTCAGGAAGTACTTTGCCTTCACAGACCACATAAATGCACTGGACCGAAATATCACCAGGGAAGACACCAAAGATAACCATCTGGCTTTCCTGGACTGTGCAGTCATTATAGGGCCCAACAACAGCTTAGGAATAGAAATCTACAGAAAACCTACACATACTGATCAATACCTGCGGTTTGACACTCATCACCAATTGTAAACCAAACTAGAGGTCATCAGGAAGCTGAACCATAGAGCAAGAAACATCCCCAATGCCACAAAAGCCAAGAAAAAGGAAGATAGACATCTGAAGACAGCTTTTAAGGCCTGTGAATATCCAGAACAGGTCCTTAACAAGGCAATGTCCCAATCTAGATTTTAAGGCCTGTGAATATCCAGAACGGGTCCTTAACAAGGCAATGTCCCAATCTAGCAGGACAATGGAACAGTCCAAGACCCAGAGCCAATGGAAGGACCTGGTCATTCCTTATATCAGTGGTCCCCAACCCCTGCTCTGCGGCCTGGTAGTGGTCCGTGGCGTGGGCCAGACAGGGCCACCGAGAGAGACCTCCCGCCACCCCCCCATGTGCACTCACCCCCGGGTCGCCCATTTGTGCCTGCGTGCGTGCTCCGACATGCCTACACAAATGCATGTTGCTGTTTGTGCATGCGCACAAGCACTTGCACACATGCGCAAATGGTGCCATGTTACCTGTGTGGGTGGGCATGCCCACGCAAGAGCATGAGTATGTTTGTTCGTGCATGGGCATGAGTGCGGGGGGTGCCTCGCCTTCCCCGTCACCCATTTGTGCCTGCGTGCATGCTCCGGCATGTCTACACAAACGCATGTTGCTGTTTGTGCATGCGCACAGGCACTTGCACGCATGCGCAAATGGTGTCATGTCGCCTGTGTGGGTCGGCGTGCCCATGCAAGAGCATGAGTATGTTTGTTTGTGCATGCGCATGAGTGCGGGGGGTGCCTCGCCTTCCCCAGCCAGTCTGTGGACTGGAAAAGTTTGGGGAACATTGCCTTACATGGCAGGTGTGTTTAAAAAGCTCAGAAAGATTTTTGGTAAACACCACATACCCATGCACTTCAAACACACAATCACATTAAGGCAGAGACTTGTCACCCAAAAGACTGGACACCAAAATACAACAGGAGCAATATAGTATATGCAGTCCTATGCAAGAAGAAGTGTTTGGAGCTCTACATTGGAGAAACCAAACATCCACTAAACAGGAGAATGGCCCAACACAGGAGGGGCAGTGGCTCAGGACTAAAATCAGCAGTGTTCCTTCATTTGAAGGGCATTGGACGCTCATTTGACCACCAACATGTACTCATTTTAGACTGAGAAAATAGATGGTTTGAGAGAGGAGTCAGGGAGGCCATACATGTGCATATACAAAATCCCATAATCAGCAGGGGTGGAAGGCTTAGATACAGTCTGTCTCCTATTTATCATGCTGCCCTTTCATCTGTCCCCAGAGAGGTCAGGACCACACACACCAAAAAACCCACTGTTAATGACCCATGACAATGGGTGGAGTAGGACTGCAGAAGTGGGATTTTCACTCACCCCCCGTCCTTTGGCTTTCTAACGAGCCTATTCAGAACAGGGGGAAATTGAAAACAATGTGGAGGATCTATCATGGATCTTCTACCAACTCTCCTCAGACTGAAGAAGCTACTTGGATGATTAGCTAAATGTTTCAACTAATAAGAAAGAAATCCAGTTGCCATGACTCAGCTTCCAGATAATATGAGGATAGTAGCTAGGACACCTTGGTCCCAGCTGGCAGGCCGTTATGTTTCTAACATTCCCTAAGAAGCTTCCCCACTCTAGTTCACCTGTGAACATGAGGGCACGATGTCAGACCTAGGAGGAGAGGAAGAAAGGGGAACAGAAGTAGTACAGAAGATACTAGAAGTGGAAAACAGTCCCCTAGAGGGGCAAGGATGGGGAAAGATAGAAGGGAGGAAGAGCATGGGTAGAAAGATGCCAGGGAAGAACCCTGATTGGGAAGCCTGTGACATGGAGGTGACAGACCTGCTGGAGAAAGACCCAAAAGTGGATTGGAAGACCATGGAGCATAAAGACCTTTGAACTAGGGTGCTTGCCCAACTCAGAATCCTCAAGACTGAGGTGGAATGGTTGCGGAACATAAAGCCTCCAAGGAAACCCGTCTTCTGGGAAGAGCAACAGTAGTGGGAATGATGCCAGAGGAGTGGAGAGCATAGGAGAGTATGACCCTTCCCAACCTTCTATCACCCTGGCCCAGCCACAGGAGGAAAACCTCATAAACTCTACAACTGGGGGAGAAAACGGGGGAGGATGGGAAAGGTTATATCAAGGGCCAAGTAACTTTGGTTATAACCAATCCCTGCTGTCGCACCTCCTGTTTAGCTTACCTTTGAAGGGTGCTCAAGGTCATGGAGGAATAGAGAATGGCCTCATCGAAGTAGATACCAAAAAGCTTAGTACTAAGAGGACTGAGATAAATGCTGAAGATATTACAGTTAACTGAGTTAACTGTTGAGAGTTTCTGTTACATCCCTGTCCAAGTTAATAAACTCACGTGTTTTTGAGCATACTGTGCATTCTGCCAAGGGCTCTAACATGGAGGAAGGGAAGGTGGAACCACCGGCTGGATTTACATACAGTCCTTACAGTATTCATTATACAGTACTTCACTGGACAGCTGCCTGATTGCAAGATTGTAATCTTTCAGAACTATTACACATGAATTATTAGTAATTTTGTTTATTTCACTTTCCTTTGTTTTATATGTTTATAACCTATTTAAACCAACGAGAAGTGTTTATGGGTTTACTGATTGTAATGTTTTTTTTTCCTTTTCATGATATTAATCATTATATGTATGTCATTTCAATATATTGGATAATGTGGAAGAATTCCTGTCAAGAAGGATTTGAAAAATCAGTGTTCCTTTCCAGTACTTAGTATAGCACTATAATTGATTTTTTTTTTCCAGTTTTGAGTTTGAAAGTGCAAACAGGTAATAATATTTAATTTTTCCTTTTGTTCCTCTTTCTTTATGGCACTGCAGAAATTTATGATGAAGGTAAGTTTTAAGCCAACTGTTAATTCTTACAGATCTTTCCAGTCAAATAATGTTAGAATGTGGTAAAATTCTCAATATTATTGTTCAAAACAAAATGATATTGCAGTAACAATCATGACTGAGTCCCTGAATGCCATTTTAAAAATTAAGATAGTTTTTAAGCGTTGATTTACGAGGTTCCATTGATTCATTGGGTCTCTCTAATTGAGTGAACTAGTTGAGGGTTTACGTGTATCAAATCAGAACAAACTGTTTTGATCAGAATTTTTAATTAGCATCAGTGATAGTGACATCTCTTGGCTGAAGCATTATTCAGTGTGCATCCTAATGGTTGTCTGGAGCAGTGCTTGTGTCAATGTGATTTCCACTGGAAATAACTGGTGCAACATAAGGGCTGGTCACAAGCATGTTGCACCTGTTTTAAGACAATTTGCTTCCCCCTCTAAAATTTAGAATTCTGTAACCAACTGTATCAGTGGCCACTTATTACCTTATGACAACTTTTAAAGAATTTGGTGCTCCCCACATTTGCCATAATTCTTCTCTGTCATTGGCTAAGGTTCATGTCCCCTGTCTTGTTTTTGTCACAGAAAAGATACCGAAAGTCAATCTTTTTATGTGAAATATGGCTGTTGATTTTCTAGTCAGACTTGCAGAATGTATTGCTAGGGTTGCTTTTGGGTGTTGCTGGACCTACTGTCCAGGTCCCTCAGGTACAGGGTATATTCCATCAATTATATCTATCTATTTAGGGTTAATGCTCAATTAACCTCGATTCCTGGTTAAAAATTAAATTTTGTTCAGTTTATTCCAGGTGGGAATTTATTTATTTATTTATTTATTTGATTTTTACCTCGCCCCTCTAGACAACGTCTACTCGGGGTGGCTTACATCAGTTAAAACAAGTTTAAAAACATATAAAATGCATTTATACTAATTAGTTCTAAACAAAAGGTTTCCAAGATGGTGGTAATTTAGTAAAGCACTAAATTAGTGGAACTCCATCATGTTAAACTAACATTGTCTGTCTGTCCATCTAGCCAACCAGCTATCTATCCATCAAGCTGCAGACATGGACACAGATACTGACACAAAAAGAAACACACACAGTTGAAGTGGGAATAAAGAATGGAAGGGCAGGGTGTGTTTGGAGAGAGAATTGCTTGTTGTATCTTTGGGAATAGTACACACAATTATATAAAGCAGGCCCCTGCAGTACCATTGACTCCAGGATTTAAAACTGCTTACATACATCAGTAAGGAAGTTGTACTCTTTGGGATGCCCAGACTGAGGAAGCTGATGTACATATATTTTTTTAAAGACCAAAACGATGACTTTTTGTTATAGGGAGGGAAATAAAGGCAGTGGTATACAGGGAAAGAATATATGATTATTTCAGTTATGTTACACTACATTAGAGTCCTGTTAAAAACCCAAATACATTTCTAGCCAATACATGCTTACATTTTATCTGTGAGATGAAGGAAATATAAAAACTTCACAATGAATATTTTTTTACATGTGTTTGGAAAGAATAATTGAGAATAATGCTATCTCAGCAACAGAGAGTTTTTATCAAAGGCTCTTTCTCAAACTGGGAAGAGGTAAAAGTTAGGGACCCAGTTCTGGGCCCAGTGCTCTTGAACATATTTACTAATTTATATGAGGGTGTGCAGGAAAAGCTTGTCAAATTTATGGATGACACTAATTGGGTGGAATACGTATCTAATACCTTAGAAGACAGGAACAACATTCAAAAATGTCTTGATAGGCTTGAGCACTGGGTTGAAAACAACAGAATGAAATTTAGTAGGGATGAGTGCAAAGTTCTACACTTGTGGGGAAAAAACACAAAATTAACAGTTACAAGATGAGTGATACTTCCTCTTAATCCTACAGACTGCTCAGGGTGGTGGTCATCGGACACTACTTTATGGGCATGCAATATTGCTGCGTCATTCTTACAGTGGTATGGTATGTATTAAGTTGTGTTTGATTATGTTAATGTTTACATGTTTTCTTTCAATGTCTCAGGACTGGAGGGCTGCAAATCATGCATGAAATTGAACAATATACGAAACCATTTATTCTTTATCTCTGTGGTTGCAAATAATTATTCTGCCATTCTATCAGTTTCTTTTCAGTGCAATAAACTCTTATCCTCAGACCACCCTGTCACAGGGATCTCCATATTGTCTGTTGGAGGGGGTCTGAGGTAAATGGCCTGCCAGGGACAGCCATAGTGCCCCCCCTAACACTGTTGTAATATACTGGGGAAAAATATCCCTTCTTATTTTTTGGGAACCATGTAGTAGTTGTGATTCTCAGTTGCCTGCTCCTATTCTAGGGACTAGGAATGTAACAAATCAATGCAAATTTTCTTGTAATCAACAAAAACTAATATTTTGACACAGTGAAATCTTCAATTAAAAAAAAACAGCCATTCTAATATTTTTCACTTTTGCATGAGAGTGAAAAAAATCAGGGCTTTCCACCCATCAGCAACATTGGTGTATGTGTGTGTGTATGTATATACATATACACATACACTTGCATATACGTACGTACGTACGTATGTATGTATTTGCATTGTCCCTCCTTTTAAAAAAAATGAAGTGAAAATTTACATCCTTACTAGAGACACTAAACATTCTTATTGGGGTTAGAAATTCTTGTTGGATATTTTCTCACTGAGGACACCTGAATGTTGGTGTATGTGCGTGTGTATGTATATACATATACACATACACTTGCATATACGTACGTACGTACGTATGTATGTATTTGCATTGTCCCTCCTTTTAAAAAAAATGAAGTGAAAATTTACATCCTTACTAGAGACACTAAACATTCTTATTGGGGTTAGAAATTCTTGTTGGATATTTTCTCACTGAGGACACCTGAATTCTCACTGGGATCAAGAAATATGAAGTATAGATCAGGTCTGGGTGCTAATTCATAACCCTTAATGTATTAGAATTTTCATAGCCACAAGGAAATATCCCACAATGCATGAAGTTAATCTTGTTAAAAGCTATTTGTTAACAATTTGGTGGTATTAAAGAAAATATATAGTCCTTCTCCCCTAAACAGCTACAGTTGTATGATTCCGTGATTGCATAGTAATTAAATGCACAGACTGAACACTGGGAAACAGAGTGCAACTTTTTTTTCATTCTTAGTACCTGTGTTGCCTCTCCACATCACGAACATCAATGGACAAGTTGGCATTTGATGTAGGCTTGCAAGAAGATACCACAGGTATGAAGATACATTTGTAAAATATTGTATTTGTTTTCAGTGACAACAGTTTAGATAGATGGGTATAAATCTTTTGAAAAAGCTGGGTTTAATAATGACAGTGATTTGAAATGTTTCAAATGACATTTTTAAAAACTTCAGATGTACAGTATAATTTTTTTCTTACAGAAACGATGCATCTATTTTTGTTATTGGAATCTGTCTTATACCACAAATTGATACTGAGTTTTACTATCTTCTTCCTAATGAAGATTCTCATAGAATTACTGGGTGACATCCTGTTGTGTAGCTACATGAGTGTAACTTGACATTCCACACCAACAGCTGCTACAGTAGTGCTACATTGGAAATGTTATGCACAAAGCTTTTTTGCTGGTGCATTGCATAATGGAATCATATGACTAATTGCATGATCAAATTACACAATTTCCTTTTGCCTTGGTGCAGTTACCAGCAAATGTTTGCGAGCGTAACTTTATGTTATGCCTGCACAAACAGGATTTTGGCCATGGAATTGTCAAACTGGAAGGATCCCTGAGGGTCCTTGAGTTCATTCCTCTGAAGCAGGAGGAAATTTCAAGCAGATTGAGATAATGCGTGATTTTAAGCCTACATTTGTTTTGCAGAATACAAACAGTGTGGCTGTCACTGCAAGCTGAACAGCAGCATTTCTGGCAGTATACATCCAATACCCTTGTTTAACACTCAACAGCACTTGCTATTTTTTTATGCATGATCAGTGATTAAATTTGTGTTACGTAGATATCATACTTATACTATTTTGAAATACTGTGGACTACCATCATGTATAGAATACAGACTGCCAAACCTGAAGCACTTTTACAAGAACAATCTATTATTCCATGCCAGTTCCTATTTTTGGAAGCTTTAGAAAGAACCTCTAGGTCACAGGCAAAAATACGTTTAGTATTTTGATGTCAGGTGTTACCTCATCCAGTTTACAGTGACCTGTGTTTTAATGAGTTCCAGAATATCCTGTCATTAACAGTCCTGCTCAGGTTATGCAGCTTAAAGGTCATGATTCTTCTTTGTGGCCTCTGAGAATCACACCCTGGGTAATCCACGCCTGCGCGGAGCCTCATTGGTCCAAAGCAAAATTAACTGCATTCAACAACTTAAATAGATGGAAAAATAAATGCAATACATTTCATGGAGCTTTCTGTTCTTATATCAATCTTTTCTATAACCTCTGGTAATGTAGGTGAAGCTTGTTGGTGGACTATACATCCAGCTTCCAAACAGCGTTCAGAAGGAGAAAAAGTACGTGTTGGGGATGATCTCATCCTTGTCAGTGTGTCTTCAGAAAGATACTTGGTAAGTGCTGAAGAACGTGTTACATTCACGTTACATTAATAAATCTTGTTACCATAGAAAATAGGACTGAAATTTTTGATTGAAGTGTGACCTGGATTTTAATCGGAGACAAAATGTTGATTGTTTTAGCTTCCTACTACAGTCTATTTGGCAACCCATATTGAAATCACCTGTAATGGAGACTCATCTAGTTTAGACTTGTAAACTCTGCAAGAGCTTTATCTTAAACTCAGGAATCATCAATACTTTGTGAACAGTCATTTTCTTCTAAACCAGGGGTCATTGGTGTGATACTGCTGCTTCTCATCTCCCGAGAAAGGGGGGACTTTGGGGCACTGGTCGGGCGGCGATGGCCTTCACCTTGTACTTATTGCTTCAGGCCACACTGCTGTTTGTCAATGCCATCGCGGTGCTGCACGAGAAGTGCTTCCTCCGCATGATAGACTGGGGAACAGGCCAAGGAACTGGAGGCTTTGAAGAACATCCGGGACATGGTGGTTCTGTGGGTTAAACCGCAAAGCCTCTGGGCTGCAAGGTCGTAAGATTAGCAGTTCAAATCCATGCGATGGAGTGAGCTCCTGTCGCTTATCCCAGCTCCTGCCAACCTAGCAGTTCAAAAGCATATAAAAATGCGAGTAGATAAATAGGTACTACCTCGGTGGGAAGGTAATGGCATTCTGTGTCTAGTTGCACTAGCCACACGACCATGAAAACTGTCTATGGACAAACACTGGCTCTATGGCTTTGATATGGGGATAAGCGCTGCCCCTAGAGTCGACAATTTGTCAAGGGGAAACTTTACCTTTTCCTTCAGTCTCGAGAGACTATGGTAACATGCTCTGAATAGAGGACTTAGAACAGCATCTAGTGTGGCTGAGAAGGCCAATTGGAGTGCACTCACCTCTCCTACCATCCGAAGTAGCCCCTGGCGTCATGTTCTACCCCAGTCAAGCAAAGACTTATAACTGGTAACTGCTGCTTCCCCTGTTATTTTAATGCTGTATGCGAAGCTGGAGTGTCCTCTCCAGAGCACGAAGCCTGGGTAAAATAATATGGAGAATATGCTGTTACCTAAGCAGCAAATCCCGCCTCTCCATGTCACTGAAATAGTCCAATGGAAAGGCAAGAGCCAATACAACTGGTTCCAGCAATGTCGCAGGAGTTGCCAGAACAGCATGAACTGCCTCCAGGACTCTGGCACTGGATGTTGCCTCAAGGTTTACTCCCGAAGCCTTTTCCATCACACTACACTTGATCTTAGCCAAAATGCAGAGAAGTCATCATCTGTGGATATAGCCACAAGGCAGTGGAGGTTTGAAATGGGAGTTTTCCTTCTCCTAGATGGGCTGCCTTCCACGGCTGACAAGCCCCACCAACCTGGCCTGCTCCCTAATAGTGTGAAGATTAGAAACACAGGCTTCCAGCTGCCTAATTGGACTTAACACTGTCACAATTGTGTTGCTTTTGTTATTTGGTTGAAGATTACCCCTGGCAAAACTGAGAATGTATCGAGAACAAATGGACTGCTGACCAATTTTTTTCATGGGGATCCAAGCTGACTTAGTGTCAGAACTACGCCTTTGTTTCAATAAAGAACAATTTCTTTCTATTGTATTTGTTAATACTCAGATCTGTTTCATTACACCAGAAAATTGAATCTATATAAAAGTGCTGTACAAATGTGGACATGTGAAACAGGTTTTTTTTTCACTTAATAGCATCAAATATTTGTTACCTGTTACAGCCTATTGTAAAAATTACTTGAAGGTGCTGCTCCTTAAATTCCTGTTGTTCAGGTCTCAGTTTCCTAACAGTACAAAATTGAGGGTTTGCATAAATTTGGATTCTGTTTCACTTACAGTGGATATACCAATAAACAGATGAATGATGTAGATGTCATCATTTGAACACTTGACCCACTACCTTTGTAATAAGTATCACAGAAATCGAAATTTAAGCTGTTGGTGTAAATGAGACTTTTTAAAATACATGGTGATGAGTGACATTTTAAGGTTAGTTGCTTTGAAAACTGGTTTATGCATTGTGACTTTGGGTTAGCAAGATTTAGAATAATTGGGCCTTAGGATAAAGACAAAACTCCAGAAACTTTGTTGAAAAAGTAGATATCTCATTATAATGTTTTACAGTATTTGTTAAGTTTGTTTGATTTGTAAGTATAAAACAATGTATAACTAACAGTTTATATAAAATGAACTGTGAGTACTTTATGTCATGTTTTGGTTGATATGTTTTAAATATTGAGGGGAAACAGTGCAACTTGAGAAATATTTTTTTAACAAAAGTAATTGTGCAGTTGAATGTATTGGCAGTTGTCTTCTAGTTGTAAATTTGAGATTATATGGAGTAGTAGTTCTAAACCTACATTGAAATCGATGAAGAAATCGGAGTACTGCAGCCGTAAATGTATAGCAGCCCTCGATATCAAGGCATCAAAGAAAAAGAAACGGCAATTGTCGATATCAATGCTGGCACCTTGGATCCTCAGTTACCAATTTGAGAGCCTACCTCTGTTCCTGTTAACGACATCCAGTATACAGTCTCAGTCTCAGAGGTTGAGTAGCTGAGCCCCTCTGTGCAGAATGTCGCCACTCATCAAGAGCTCTGTTGCCTCAGATCCCATTGCAAGAGCAATCCTTGCCTCCACTGTCCAAGGATGGTCGATAGTTGAGATCAGGATCCCTCTCCCTTACCCAGTTGTCTCCACAACCAAGACACCATGACAGTGACATCAACAGGCACATATGGATTGGATGAATAAGTACACTCTGGATTTTTGTGCTGTGAGTGTTTGGAGAATAAATGCATGGAAACACTCCGGCCAGATGGCACGTGCAAGCTTGTTTAGAATATGCTGCTAGTTTTTCTGGACTTTCCTTTGGAGCTTCTCCTATCTCTCCTTCCCTCTTTCAATTTCTCTTTAACTCACATTGTGCTTGTTTTGGCTTTGGCCCACTAATTAGTTTATCAGCAGATGCCATGTGAAATGAAACAGTGGAAAAAGTTTGTAGTTGGCACTGCTGTATATAATCACATTAGAAGGTGTCTTCTTGCTTGTAGAATAACTGGCTATCATCACAACTAAAAGAGCCTTTCTTTGCCTGACATGAAACATGATATACCTTTTAACCTTGCTTCACTGAAGCTGGAAGTTACCAACAGTGAATTTTACTGTTGAAAAGGAAGCATTTTTAGCAGCTGCTGGCAAGATACCTGTTTTATTTGTCCTTCTTGATTTTGCATTGATATAGTGGGCATAAGGCCAGTAGTGATTAACACATTGCACTTTTATAGTAAATAAGAATACAGTATGTTTATAGAGTGGAGGAAATTATACTTAGCTCTCATCTCTAAGCCTTTATATGATAATACTTTTGATGGAGATGGAGGGAAGGGCATGTATATGTTGGATTTGAATAATAAAGTCATTTATTGTGAAATCATAGAATAATTGAGTTGGTAGGGGTGTACAAGGCCATTGAGTCCAACCCCCTGCTCAGTGCCGGAATCGAAATCAAAGTAGATCTGAAAAAATGGTTGTCCAATTTTCTCTTGAATGCCTCCAGTGCTGGACTGCTCACCAGCCCCAATGTAATTGGTTCCATTATTGTACTGCTCTAATAGTTAAGATGTTTTCCCTGATGTTCAGCCTAAATCTAGCTTTCTGTAGCTTGAACCATTATTACGTGTCCTGCACTCTGGGTTGATTGAGGACAGATTCTGCTCCTCCTCTGTATGACAGCCTTTCAAGCATTTGAAAAGTACTATCATATCTGCCCTCATTCTTCTTTCTCGAAGCTAAACTTACCTAGTTATTTCAGACTTTACCCATAGAGCTTGGTTTCCATTACCCTGATCATTCTTGTTGTTTCTCTGAGCATGTTCCAGTTTATCAGCCTCCTTCTTAAAGAGTGGTGTCCAGAACCGGACTCAGTGACTCAGAGCACTGTAGACTTATATTCAGCTTGGGATCTACAATAATTCCAAGATTCTTCTCACTTCTAGTATTACTGAGCCAAGTATCTCATTCTTATAATTTTGCATTTGGTCCCCCCCCCCTCGTGTAGAACTTTGCATTTATCCCAGTTAAATTTCATTCTGTTGTACCTAAACTTATCAATATATTTTTGAATATTGTTTCTGTCTTTCAGGGTATTAGCTATTCTACCCAATTTTGTGTCATCTGCAGATCTGATAGCATTCCCTACACCCCCTTATCCAAATTGTTAATAAAAATATTGAAGAGCACTGGGCTCAAGACTGAGCCCTGGGGGTACCCCACTTGTTTCCTCCTCTCGGTTTGAGAAGGAGCCATTAATCATCACCCTCTGAATATGATTCTATAGTCCACTGTGCATTTACCTGACAGTTGTCTTATCCAGTCCACACCTAGTTAGCTTGCTAATAAGAATATCATGGTGCACTTTGCCCAAGGCTTTGCTAAAGTCAAAGTATATGATGTCTATAGCATTCCCACCATCTACCAGGGAGGTTAGCCTATCAAAAAATGAAATAAGATGAGTCTGACAGGATTTGTTCTTGGCAAATCCATGTTGGCTTCTACTTATTACTGCATTGTAGAGAGACTGCTTTAAAATCTGCTCCAGAATTTTCTCTGGGATTGATGACTTGTCTGTAGTTTCCAGATTCTTCCTTATTTTCCCTTTTCACTTCACCCATCCTCCATAATTTCAATGAAATAATAGACAGTGATTGTGGCGGAATGCCCACGTCACTCCTGTCCATCATATGGAGCTCATGTACAGGAGTCTATGGGAGGACAGGAAGGCGGAGTTAGAGTGACAGATCGCTAGAGAGAAAGGGGGAGTGAGCTTGAAGGGGGAGAGGGAGGAGATTGAATTGAGAGAGTTAAGACAGAGCTTGGAAAGTTGAAGTGTTAAAGAGAATAGGAAAGAGTTAGAAGGAATAGTGAATAGATAGATAGTCAAAGAGTATTGTCGAAGTGGTTATTGTGAATAAGTATATGCAAGCAAACGTGTAATCAAATCCAAGTACTTTAGTGAGAGATGTTCAACAGTAATAATAGAATATCTGTGATTTACATCTCTGATTTACCAACTAAAAGATCAATAAACCTGTTGTATTGGCAGCACACATCTGAGATACATATATTGGGTATAGTGTGGACTAGATCCACTGGTGGCAGCGTAAAAAGAGGAAATGCATCCAGACGGTGGACCCGAATGTTTGGGGAGAACAAGCAAGGGACACTGAGTGGACGTGACAGTGATTCTGAGAGTTCTTCGGCCATTTGTTTCAATAGTCTTGGGTGCAGTACATCAGGCCCTGGAGATCTGAATTTATTCAAAGTAATAAGGTACTCTTTGACTTTTTGTGTATCAATCTTGATCTGCAATCCTGGCCTTTTGTACTTCACATTTGCCTGGAGTATCATAGACTTTGGGGGGAAAACGTTGCTGTTTAATATGAGGGGAGGTCATTGGGAGATTCAGAGTGGCGTGTCACCAATATGCTGATGACATGCAGCTCTATCTCTTCTTCCACCCATCTGCAGTGGATGCCATCCTATGCCTTGAGCACTGCCTGGATGCAGTATTGGAGCGGATGTGGGCCAACAGATAGAGGCTGAACCCAGACAAGATGGAGGTCCTTTGGGTGGGTGCCCTGCCTGTCTGCAGATTGGGTGTGTGACATACACCCCGTGTCCTTGGTTTATTTTCTTTAATCCCAAGTCCACCCTCTGGATACCTTTCCTCACATCACGCTGCCATCAGGTATTATTCCCTCAATACCAAATAGATCTTAGACATGTGCTGCCAATTCAACAGATTTATTGATTTTATAGATGTCATGCAAATCACAGGAGTAAATCACAGATGTTTAGAATTATTCATTAATTATCGTTTGCTTTTACATTGGCTTGTATGTGTATTTCTTCACTGGTACAATATTCTCTGAGTGTCTATTTATTCTCTATGCATTTGAACTCTTTCCTATTATTTCTAGCATTCCAACTTTTTAATCTCTGTTGTAACTTTCTTAATTCAATCTCCTAACTCTCTCTCCTCAATTCTTTATCTCCAAAACCTCTCTTTTCTCCAACTCCCCTCTCTAACTCTCTAACTGTCTTTTTTGGTTCCGCCCCTCCTGTCCTCTCATAGGCTCCTGCCCTTGAGCTTCCCATGATAGACGGCATGATGTGGGGGTTACGCCACAGGGTGCCTCCCTCTCTTTGGGGTGGTGGTACTCTCTCCACTAAGGATGAGGTTCACAACTTGGGCATAATTCTGGACCCAATGCTATCAATGGAGTCCCAGATAGTGTCCATCTGAGATGGATTGCTCACCTGTGTCCCTATCTTAAGACCAGATCTCTCACGATGTTGGTCCATGCACTGGTTATCTCAGGGTTAGACTACTGCAACACTCTCTGTGTGGGGCTACCTATGAGACTCTCATGGAAACTTCAACAGGTCTAGAACACGGCGGCCAGACTATTGAGTAAATATCAACATATCACTCAATTTCTGACCACCTTACCCTGGTTACCTGTTTCTGTGCCAGCTTCAAGGTGGTGGTTTTAACCTATAAAGCCCTAAATGGTTTGAGACCTCACTACCTGGCAGAATGCCTACTTCCAACAAGATCTGCCCATCATACAAAAACATCCAAAGTAGTCCAGCTAAGGATGCTAACCCTGAGAGAAACCTGGAGGGAGAAGACAAGAAACCAGGCTTTCTTGGTGGTTTCTCCTGAGCTGTGGAATGAGCTCTAACTGTAATTCGCTTCGTTTCTTTGCTGACAGTATTTAAAAAGTCACTAAAAACCTGGTTATTTAGGCAGGCATTAAAAACAGCATAACCTGCAAGCTCTGCTGAATCTAATTAACGTGTCTGTATATTGTCCGCCGTATTAAATGTTTTAATTTTTTTTATATTTTAAAATGGTTTATTTTAATGTATTTTTATGTTTTGAGTTTATTGCTTGTTTGTATTTTATTATTTCTAATTTTTGTGATATTTATATGTTGTACATTGCCCAGAGTGGTCTCGTCCAGATGGGTGGAATGCATGCATGCATGCATGCATGTATGCATACATACACACACACACACACACACACACACACATACATACATGAAAACTGAGCTAAAGTAAAAATTGAGCACTTTTGCTTCTTCTTAGTCACCTGCTGTCATTTTCCATCCCACTGAGTAGGTTAATCACTATTTCTTTTCTCTGTCTTATGCTACACATGTACCTCAAGATTGCTTTTTTTGTTAGTTTTAATATAGCTCCTATTAACTTCAGCTCATTCTTGGCTTTTTGCCTTGCTAATGCCATCACTGTAACTCTTTACTACCTGTCTGTACTCCTCCGTTGTGGCCTGGCTTTACTTCCATTTCCTACATGTGTCCCTTTTTTGTCTTCGGGTCCTCTCTGAGCTTTTGGTGAAGCCACATTGGTTTTCTTTGCTACCTTCCACCATTTTTTCTTGCTGGAATTGTAGTTCTGCCTTTAGAATTAATTTTTCAGAAATGTTGGCTCATCTTGAATTTCTTTTCTTGTTAGGACCTTCTGCAATGGGACTATACTCATCCTTGTTCTGATTTTATTAAAATTGGCTTTTTTAAAATCCAGTGTACACTTGCGACTACATTCTGCATTCATACTTCCTTGGAAGTCAAAAACTCCAGTATAACATGGTCACTTTCCACCAGAGTTCTTGTACACAAAGCAACCAGAGTAAATTACTAGGATGGAGAGAGGGATGTAGCTCCAAGATGAAATGGATTAAACCCACTTTGAACAGTATAGCCCACATTCATGAGGCATGGTCTTAAGACAGTCATATGACCCTAATACATTCACCCTCTTTTCTTCATTTCTGTATTCCACCAGCCAGATGATTTGTAAGAATGAGTGAATAGGCTAACAATCGAGGTGATAGAGAAAACATAACTGAATTGTTGGATAGCTCACTGGTTTTGGTCTCTGGTGAGTGCCCCAGGAAAGACAAAAACCATGTCAACCACAAGACAACAATCTGCTTTTCATGGAAGAGTTCCTTCCCATCCTTTGAAGACGACTAGGACATGCCTTGGTTACCTAGAAGCAAAAAATGATTGGAGGATGGACTGCACTGCCTGTTAATGAGCAGCAGGGCAGGGAGACCTGTTAGACTGAATTTGTTTAAGGGAAGAAAAATTCTCCAACAGTTTCTTACAGTCTGGGCTGATAATTTTCAATAGTTTATTAGAACTTTTTTCTTTTTTTGCAGAATGGGAACTGTATAGGCAGACTGGCCACCATTCTGTTTCCTCCACAATGTCTTGTATGTGACATCATTTCTGGGGCATTGTAGCGATGGTGGTGGGAAGGGAGCCCCTCCAAAATGGGGTATAAAATTGGGAAATAATTCTACAAAGTAGCCTTGTGTTTCTGGTAGTTGCCACTGATTGCAGCACAAGGCACAGAAACACTTCTGCTACCTCATAGGTGACATAGGCATATGAATTCTGAACCTCATTCATGAGAATTTCTTCAATACCTCTCCTTCACTGAAATTCTTTTTTGAAAGAAATTTATTTTCAGCACACTGTGTGTGAGTGATTTAAATTGTCATGGGTGAGAATTTTAGCACAGATCTATTTTAGAGCACCTTTCAAGGAACTAGAGATCCACTGTGTAACTACTGATGTACTGGTTCTGCTTTCTTTTTTTAAATTACAGTCGGTGACAATTCTGTACTCTTATAGCAGGCTCAAGAGTTTGAGAGACTTTTGCTGAATTATTCAGAACAGAATGAACTTGTTTGGAATTAATTCTGTGTTGCTTATTTGTCTGTGTTGATTTTTTTTAAACTGCTGGTTCTGTTCAGGGCCATGGCTCCCAAGTCAGTTACTATGTATTTTAATACTAAATACTTAACTAAGGCGTGAGAAACATGAATGGTGGATAGATCTTAAACCGATCATTTGAACAGTAGAATTCATGTGTTTGTTAAGACTACAACAGGGTGACTAAAAGTAAATTCAGGATGCATATTTTATGTTCTTGTTCTATAACAATGTGCTTTCTCTCTTTTTTTCCTGATGGTTGCAGCACTTATCATATGGCAATGGCAGCTTGCGTGTTGATGCAGCCTTCCAGCAAACACTCTGGAGTGTTGCCCCAATCAGTTCAGGAAGTGAAGTAGCTCAAGGTAATACTAATAAAATAATAATAATAATACTGTTGGATAGCTATTTATTATTTATTTATATTTAATTTATATGCCGCCCACTCTACCCAGAGGTCTCTGGGCGGCTTACAATAATTAAAATTCAATACAATAAAAATAAAATGATTAAAATACAATTAAAATACAATTATTTCCCTCTTATCATCACTGTTATTAATAAGAGCTTTAGCTAGCAGATAATTATGCTGTTGAAGAAATATATTCAGTACTTAATGTTATTCTACTTACGTCTAAGAGGAAAATGAGACAGATGGTGATGACACGTGATCAAATTGGCCTTTCTCAGAGATTTTTGGAGCTGATTTTCTAATATACAACGTAAGAAAGAAAGAGAGTGAAAAGCAGGGGACTATTTTGCCTTTTTAATTTTCTGATGTATTTTTTGTCATCCACTCTCAAAACATTCAGTTCTTGTCCTCAGTGCCTACTTTTTAACATGATGTGAGAGTGCTGGGTTGCTGATTATTGATGCGGTCGTCTATCTGATTTCATGTGTGTGAAAATATGTCAGGCAAACATGAATTCTTGATTCCAGTTAAGGAGTTAAATGGATATTTAATAAATATTGGAGTTAAGTATATCAAATCCTGTATTTGGTTAACTATGATTAAGACAGTCTTCTCTCTTTTATGTGAGTTTGTAGTACGAAGCTTCACTTCTTTGTGTTAACAAAGAACACCTATATACTTAGCATGCATTTGTAATAATATAATGGCTTCCTGTAAGTCTCACAAATTTCTGTTTTATTTAATGGTTGATTAAATTAATGTACCTTCTCCATAGTACAAGTGAATATGTATTAATGAAGCCATGTGTTTTTATTGCATTGGCCTGTAGGGTACATTTTCATGCATATTCTGGAAGTGAAAGTGTTTTGAGTCTACTACAAAAGGTTAATTTAGTAATCTATAAATTGTATATTTCAGACAATTTGGCCCAAAGGTTTGAAATATTCTGTGGAATTGTGGTAAAGAAGAATTAAATCAATTGGGAAGAATTATACCTTAATTATCTTTTTTTAAAAAATTGACAAAATTGGAAAGTACAGTGGTGCCTCGCTTGACGAGGATAATCCGTTCCAGCAAAATTGCTGTAGAACAAAATCCTCATCAAGCAAAGTGAAAAAGCCATTGAAATGCATTGAAAACTCGTTCAGTGCATTCCAATGGGCGAAATACCTCAGCGTCCAGCGAAGATCCTCCTTAGGTCGGCCATTTTCCAGTGCCTGTCTTGTGAAAAAGGCTTCTTAAACACAGCGGCCAGCCATTTTAAACAGTGGGTGGCCATTTTGCTAAATACGGTGGGGAGCCATTTTAAACAGTGGGTGGCCATTTTGAAACCCAACAATCAGCTGTTTTCTGATCGTCATAAAGCAAAAAATTGGTTCCCGAAGCAGGGAACTGATCATCGTAAAGTGAATTTTCCCTATCTAAACATCGTTTTGCGGTTGCAAAAAACACATCGTTAAGCAATTTCCTCATCTAATGAGGTAATCGTCAAGTGCGGCACCACTGTAAATTTAGTCCAGGTCTATCCCCCATGTAGGGCAGTATATAATAATGCAGAAGTACATCAGGGTCTACTAGTTAATATCAGGCTGTGGGAAAAAGAAGAAATGACAATAGTAGGAAAGCTTCTTAAGAACTGCGTAGTGAACACATATTCTCAGAGCCCTGTCCCACTAATGAAATAAATCAGGAGAGGGATAGTTGTTTTTGAAATAAGTTTAAAGTTACATGGCATTCCTGTGACTTTTGTGTCGGTGTGTGCATCCTCACTGACAAAGTCAAGGTGAAAGAGAGATGCATGGGCTGAAACTGGCCTCCTCCTCCTCCTCTTTCTGCTCTTGCTGTGCTGGTGGCTGCCTGTCCTGTGTCCCAGCGGGCTCTGCATCCTCTGCATGCAAGACCAGCCAGCCTGCCCCTTCCTCAATAGCTCAAACAAGAGACTGGATGCTGGGAAAAAGCCAACTTTAAGCAGCAGTTTCTTGCAGTGTCTTGCTTGCAGGTCAACTGACTGGGGCTTTGAAAAGACAAATGCATTTATTTATTTATTTATTTATTTATTTATTTATTTATTTATTTATTTATTTATTTATTTATTTATTTATTTATTTATTTATTTAAGTTATTGCTGTCTGGTACAGCACTGTATCAGATAGCAGGAATTTAAAAAATAACACAGACTGCAGGTGTTCACATATGTGGAATCAATTTCAATGAAACAATTCCACATCTGCCTTAAAATAAAAAGCCCTTTGGTGCAGGTAGAAAAACTTGCTCCCACTCAAAAGAACACTATCCTTTGTCACAGTACTCTCTGTGTGCAAACACCTCATGTGTTCACCAAAATTTAAATTGATTTTTTTAAAAAGCAAAACCTGATTCAACAGTAATTATTATTGTCATTGGTGACTGGGCTCTGAGATGCAACCCGATCATCAAATATCTTTGTTTTTGATATCTGCAGGTACATCATGTGGTTAACCATTTACTCTGGAAATACAGTTTGTTGGAGACAACAAAGAATTTGAAAAAAAAGTTTTAGAAATGCATGTTTTCTATTGAGAATCTTATGTAAACTGTTATGGAAACGAGAAGAAACCTTTAATAAATTTCAGACTAAATAGGAATTTGACTTTTTGAATGTATAGGTAATTATAAATGGGTTTGTGAATATAGACCTTCCATCACATTAGCCAAAATTCTCTTGCATAATTACACGAGTGGAAAGGAATTGGTGATACTGGTGGTAAGCGTCTCAATGAGCCTGATTTTGGAAACTGTGGCTAATTTAAAGGAAGTGTTATTGCAGGTTGCAGTGTAGATGGTATTTGACTCCACAGATATTTCAGATAATCATTGGAGATGCAGTGTAGCGGGTGCAGATGTTTACCATATATTCTAGTCTTGTCAGTTAATAAGAAAATCTTGGGTTTTTATTTTGGTAAAAATTGGAAACATTAAGGGTTACATTTTACCAGGTGATCCATTAATAATACTGTTTTGTTATGTAAAAAAGTAGTAACAGATATGGAATTAGAAGTACATTTATTAATAGCAGCATGAATGTGCATTACTAATAATTGGGAAAAAAACTTTCTGACTGACAAAGACAGAGTGGAAACATCAGCTGAACAATTGAAATTTGGGAATGCAAACAACAAGAAAACCATTTTGTAGAAAATTAAAAAATAGGCAATACCTTTATAAACCACTAAAAAAAACATCATGCAATAAACAAGCTTTCGTGGATCAAAACACCACTTCATTAGGTTTGTACCAGTGTGAAGAACTTAAAGTCCAAAGCTTAAAGTCCAAAAGTACATGACAAGATGCAGTTTATGTCTCATTTCAGTTGGGCTTCAGGCCTGGTTATGGGACAGAGACAGCTTTGGTCACCTTGGTAGGTGACCAGTGAGAAGAACCAGATAGGGGATCTGTGTCCCTGTTAGTTTTGCTGGACCTCCCAGTGGCTTTTGATGGTATCAGCCACAGTATCCTCCTGACCTGTCTCTCTGGAATGAGACTTGGGGGCACTGTTTTATGGTGGCTCCAGGACTTCTTGGAGGAGAGAATTTAGAAGATGTTGCTGGGCGACTCCTGTTCAAAACCCCGGCTGCTGACCTGTGGAGGCCCTCAGGGTTATGTTTTGTCTCCTATGTTATTTAAAATCTATATGAAGCCGCTGGGAGAGATTATTCAAAATTTTGGGATTTGGTGTCACCAGTATGCAGATGACACCCAACTCTACCTCTCATTGCCACCTAAATCTGAGAAATCTACTTTGGCTCTAGATCACTGTTTGGTCTCAGTAATAGACTGGATGAGGGTGAATAAATTGAAACTTAATCCAGACAAGATACAGGTGTTCCTGATCAGTCAAAAGGCAGATCAAGGAATAGGGGTGCAGTTGGTACTGGATGGGACTACAGTCCTATTGAACAAACAGGTGTGTAGCTTGGAGGCGCTCCTTGATTCATCCCTGAGACTGGACGCTCAGGTCTTGGCGGTGGCCAGGAATGTATTTGCACTATTAAAACTACTGTGATAGTTATGTCCATTTTTCTGATCTGGCTATTGTTACACATGCCCTAGTTACTTCCCAGCTGGATTATTGTAATGTGTTCTGTCTTCAATGGTTCAATATGCAGCAGCCAGATTGCTGACAAAGGCTGGTTACAGGGATCACATCCCCCCCCCCATTACAGCAGCTCCACTGGCTGTCACTGTCAATCAGTTACTGGGCACAATTTAAAGAGCTGGTTTTAACTTATAAAGCCCTTATTGATCTGGGTCCAAGCTATCTCAAAGACTGTATCTCCCATTATGAGCTATCTCGGGTACTAAGATATGTCAAGGAAATGGCAGAGTGCATAGTTTCTCCAGTTCTAGTGGAACAAAGACTCAGATAACAAAGTTCCTATCACCAAAGTCTATTTAGAAATATACAAATACAAATAAACAAACCAGCAGCATCCCTGTGTCTGAGTAAATGAGCTCTCAGAGCAGTTGAGTTCAGTATAGCATAGGCTCTCAAACTGAACCAAATTGTACATGTATCCATACAAACCTATATTCATAATAGCCAACGGCAAATGACATTACATTGGCTTCTTGTATCATCTGCTTAAACAGCATGACTCTTCACTTTTTCCTCATTAATTGCACCTGCTGTGCTTCACCTTTACCACACATCTATTTTTCTTAATAAATTCTAGCTGCATCACAATAGCAAAACTCTAACAAGCTATCTCAAAGACTGTATCTCCCATTATGAGCTTCTTGGGTGTTAAGATAATCAAGAGAGCTCTTTCTCTTAGTGCCACCACCTTCACAGGTGCATCTGATGGGGACACCAGAGAGCGCATTCTTCCTTGCCACACCCAGACTTTGGAACTCTCTCCCACAGGAGGCCAGACTGGCCCCATCTTTGTTTTTCTTCTGCAAGCAGGCAAAGACCTTTCTCCTCAGACAAGCCTTCCCTCAGTAACCAACTACTGTGTGTGGTTTTTAGATAAGACTGTTATACATTATTGCTTTGACTGGATTTTTAGTACTACCTATGTTTTCCATTTTTGTGTTTTCCATTTCTCAGAGTGACAATTGATCTTTGTTTTCATATTGTCTGTTAATGTTGTAAGATGCCTCCTTATTCATAGTTTTAAATATTGTCTTTTAATGATGTTAACCGCTGATGTATACTCATTGTTTTCAACTTTAAATATTGTCTTTCATTGTTTGTAAGCTGCCTTGAATCCTTTTCAAGGAGAGAGGCAGAGTAGAAATATTTTAAATAAGAAATAAATACATACATACCACTAGTCCATATCAAATTGAAATAAAAGGCAACAGATATTACTAGTACATTTTGTCTAATCATATTTGAGATGGGTGGAGGAATATAAGTCTTATATGAATGAGGCTTCATACATGTACTGGACTGTATAGTTTTACTATTGCCTCTAATACTGTTTTGTGAGACAGATAGTAATTGCATGGGGGATGAGGAATATCCTGTCCTCTTTGTTACAGTCTGTAGAACAATCTTTGAAACACTGATGAATGTTTCACCATCAGAATGCTGATCACCAACAGAATGCTGTCCTGATAATTGACATTTACCTAAATAAATAAATGATATGTTGCATTGGTTTGTTAGGCATTTTTCATGCATCTTCTGGAAGACTGTTTGTGCTTACTATAGACAGCTAATTTATAAAATCTTCTGCAATTTAAGCACTTGAGATTGTTGACTTCAAAGGGTTATGATACCAATTGCAGTCACTTGTGTTGAATAACAAGTACTTACCCTTCCCCCTCCCGGCAAGAATTTTGGGTCTCAAAATGCAGATTGTGCTGCTCTGGAGGCCCTTGGTGTCACAGTTTGCATTTTGGGAGCCAGGTTCTTTTCTGTGTGCGTGTGTGCGTGTGCGTGCGCATGCATGCATGTGCGTGTGTGTGTGCGCACGTGTGCATGTGTGTGTATGTGTGTGTTTTAAAGCTTGGGTGGTCTGGAGACATTTAGGAGTCTGCATGGTCATGCTCAACCAGCCACATGTACATTTGTTTATCTTGACTAACTTCATCTAGTAAGAATGGAATATTCTGCTGAGTTCAGGTAATCGTAAATTCTGTTTTGAGAGATGGGGTGGTACCTCTCTCTGGTAGGCCATTCCTGCAGAAATCCAATTTTGGCCAAAAATATGAAAGCAAGTGTGAATTAGTTGCTGTCATCTCCTTTCTACGTAGTTCATATGTGTGACTAAATGGCTATGGATGAACTCCAGACTTCCTTGCCTTGAACTCCATATCAAGTTCACTTCAGTACAAGCTCAGTTTTATTGCAGACAGTGCCTTTGTTTTGTTAACACAGTTGTTTCTCTGAATCCTAACTTACCATCCAAAGTGTCCCCAGCAGATACCTCTGGATACTGAGTTTGGATTTATCCCAAAACATTCACTGCTTACCATTTCTCTTTACTATAGGTTATCTGATAGGAGGTGATGTGTTGAGATTATTACATGGTCACATGGATGAATGCCTGACTGTTCCTTCAGGAGAACATGGAGAAGAGCAGAGAAGGTAAACATTTGCAAGAAACAAATGTTGAGACAGTTAATTTAGTTAGACAAATTACATGTCAAAAATGTTTTGTCATTGGGGTGATTTTGACCATGAATTTCACAAGAATCAGCAAAATTGACAGTAATGGCTTGGTGTAATTTTAAGGAACTTAAACCTGTTTACCTAGGAAAACATCTAGCTTTGTAGTTTGTATGAATTTATGCCAGTGAGAGTTACAAGAGTAGTATAGCACATCTGTAAGTTTTTGGGGACCTGGTTTGCCAAATGCTGACTGTACATGTTTAGTTGTGTTTTACATTCAAAGAACTTGGAGATTGGGTGGGGATTCAGAACAGAGCTGAGCACTATTAAGACAAATCTGTATTTTAAACAGATAATTATAAACACAGGCAGTATATTTCCTGATGAATATTTTCCCACTCAGTCAGGTACAAGTTAAGATCAGTATTTTCAGATCATTCCTTTAGTTCCTTTTCAGCTCCAGCATGGAAGATTTATTAAGAAAGAAAGTGAATAGGATACAGCAGTTTGAATCATGGAGATGGCAGAAAACTGTGGTTGTCAGGATTTCCTGAAGTGGATATGCTGTCAAGAGCTGAAGATAAGGATGGGAATCTTTTATGCACTTATCTAGTGTAAACCCCAAACAGCCCTTAAGAGCTTAACTTCATGTTAACATTCCTAGGATTGCACTTTGCATTTCAAAGGGAAAATTAATCTCTTTGGTATTCTTAAATTCTTTCATTCCCCCCCCCCCAAGTTAATGTCTAGGGAGAAAATTGATGGGAAAGATTATAGCAGGCATACATTTATCTCCCCACGTCTGTGCTGATAATATGGCATCTCCAAAATGCAGATACACTGTATAGGGGATCTTTAAATTAAGCCATATCACTTAAAACTTAAATATGAGCAGACAATACGAGTGCTTTTTAAAAGCTATTTATAAAACCACTGGAACATAAAATTAACAATTCTATATCATTTCATTTATTATAATGAAGGGAGAAGCCCTTTGGATAATGGTTCTTCATCTGTGAAGGAAAGATACTCAGTGCTAAATACTTCTCATTTTAAAAAATATATATGCCATCCACTTTCTTTCCCAGAGACCTTTAATGTAGCAGAATTACAATCATATTCTGACAGAATACTGAGTTCAGCGAACCCCTCTCTGGACCCTTAACCATACTCCTTGTGTATCCTGGGATGGGTGAGCCTTGGAGAGTCATTTTCCAATTAGCACACAGTACTGGGGAACAAGCCGACTTGGCCTTGAAAACCTTACTAAAAAAAGGTAAACAGTAAGTGTTACTCTCTCATCCTTCCTGTGAAGACACTGCACTCCACATTCCCAGCCAGCTGTTTCCAGGCACTGACAGAGAAGCCTGAATTTTCTAGAAGGAATTCTATGTTCCATGTTCCTTCAATTTTCCGGGTTTTTTCACACACATAATAAAAACAATACAATAAAATCAAGCTACAGCAGAACAAATAATCAATTATAAATAAAACAATTCTTCTCCTTGAAAATATTATATTATTGCCGCCATAATTATTTTGTGAATGTTTAAATGGCCCAGTGTGTTGGTATCACTTCTTGTTCCTGATTACTCATAAATACTCATCTTACTATGACATTTTTGGCTCAATCTGTTTGAAGACTCATAGAAAAAAAAGCCTAACCTTCAGCATTTCCAAATGAAAAGGGCATTAAGAAACAGATCTGGGAAAAACCTTGCCTGTGATTATGGAAAGCTACCATTAGTCAGAGCACACAACACCAGAGTAGCATGACCATAGGTGATCCAACATCAGACAGCTTCATGTGACCTCATCCCCAACTGCAAATTAAACATCCTTTTAGACTAGAATAGGAGTCATCTGGTCCATGGCCTAAATATCGTTTCCCAGGTTGTATACTACATGCCTTCTGTGGACTCTGGCACTATATAATTGGTGTCTGGACCTCTGGCACTTGCCATTTCATTTCTTTGATCATAAGTAATGGAAAGGAATACCTGTCTTTGTTCTGAGAGCTCTCAAGAATAGAAAACTTTGATGACAGTGTAGGTTAAGAAGATATGTGGTAGATTTCATGGTGACTTAAGGTATTTATCCTGATCCTCTAGGTACTCTAGGCAAGGGACCCTGTTAGAGTGAATGAACGTTTCTTTAGCTCAGGGCTTGGAAAACTGGTGTACTTGAGACTTCCATTTATTATAACATTGAAAATAGAAGTGACATTTTAAACTCTTCTCATCCTCCTGTTGCCCGTAATACCTAGGGCTTGCCTCAGGGATTAGTAACACACAGAGAAAGGAAGAGTAATCTAGCAACCACTCGGTTTGTATAGAACTTGGTGGGAGAAAAATGATTCTGTGTCACTGTGTTTTGAACTAGTACAGAGTTGCCAAAGGGGGAAAATATTTCTTGAGGCAACCACTGATAATATGTTTTCTCAGCCTTGACTCACCCTACACGGATGAAATATTAAAGGATAACATAAAACTTTCTATAATTGGGATATATTGCTTACTGTTACTCTGGAAGACCTGAATCATGTAAGCAGATTGGTGTACATTTCTGAAATGCCTGTAAGAAGGGTTCGCAGTAGTGTTCTCTTAAATTGACTGGATATTCTGAATCCCAGCTCTGCCAAGTTGTATTCCGTGTTCTCTTCTGTATATGTAAAATGATTATTAAGTACTTTTCTGGAGTTATGTGTATAAGGTCTATATAAATTATTTTTAAAACAAATCAGTGAAGATTAAAAATAATTAGTACTCATTTAAAAATAAATGAAAGTAGACTTCAGAAAATGAAAAAAAATCAATGTATTCGCGAAGGCTTTCAC